CGCTAATGATGTTGACGGATTATTGTTTGCACCTCCAAAGCACGGTTTCATAGTATAGGAACATGATTTCAACTTCTATGTTGGATAGAGTAAAAATGCAGAGAGTATGTGCCGATTAGATTAGTCAGACAGTTGAATTCTATCCTGCTACTAGTTTACAGCGGAAATGAGTCCAGTCTGTCTCGCAAATTTCCACCCCCAAAAGGGATGCAAGGGTGCAGCATAGCTCATAGATTGTTCAAATGCACCTGTATCCCATATACTTCTAGCACACACCTGGACGACGAAGGACAGCTCCATAGATCATTATAAATAAGTCTGTGTCGTTTTTCGGATAAGAGAAAATGCAAGGTAAAAGCCAAATGAAGAACAGGAGCTTACCAAACCGACTTCTACCCAAAGATTAAAATAGTTCCTATGCAACAGGAATCTGAGAACAAGTCTTCATGGCTTTTTGAATTTTTATTTCCCCAAGGGGTAGTTTAATGTCTCACATGCCGCTGAAGCGGAGCCGTATCATGTAATGGATCAAATCGAAAACATTCCACAAAAAAAAAGAAAGAAAGAAAGAAAGAAAGAAAGAAACAACTGTATCGTAAGATGCCTACTTCGAAAAGTCCATGGGTAAATTCGGACCTGAAAGGGAGGGGATGCGGTCCCTTAGAAAGGGCACACCCGTAACGGTGGTAGTTGAATAGTTATAGATTAGCGCGTAAGTTCTGAGTAAGCGCTTTGCACAGGGGATTTTTTATTGGTTGTAAGGTCGCGGCTATTCGTTTAAGCTTAAAACCTTATTTGAATGTTAGAATCTGCTAACTGAATTAGGAAGGCAGAAGGTAGATCTTATTAATTGAGATTATTTAGTTGAGAAGTGCTCAGGCAACCCGTCGGCATTATTATTTCAGGTCCTGGACTTTCAGAGGAAGGGCCCTCTTCGTGATGCCCTCTGAGTTGTTTCAAAATCCATTACACTGTTGTCCTTTGTTCGAAGAATGTTTTCAAAAGCCTTCCGCAGTTTGAGGGCAATGCTATCGAAATTTTCCCCATCAAATCTCAGTTAGGCATCACTGCTTCGAATCAAAGACTTGTCGAATAATACAGTGTGGGAAGCCAATAATATGAATGCTGTGCAATAATGGAGAAATGGTTAACTCCCATATATCCTTGAATAATCATTGTTGTCTCTTGGACCAGTCTCAGGGACATCAGGAATTTAATGTGATACGCTCTCTCGAGAAGAACACTTTGAACAAATCAGGTTGACTTTAATTCAAGCCCAGTTTCAGTCCAGCGAATTCGCGCTGTCGCGTCAGCCAAATTGCACAAGTTGAACTGCTCTTGATGTTTTATTACAGCGAATAGGACAGTCCGCATGAAAGTTTCATCGAGTCAATCGCCCAATTAGCAAAATTTACGGAGCATTTTACTCCCTAAGGAAAGACTCTCAACAACAAAGTTGTTACGAATAAAATACTAGCACAGGAAGAGATTGCTACCTGCGTCTCTGGTTAGTCGCTCCAGCACCGTGCATCATCGTTTGCCGGTAGATTGCAGGGATTGTGTATATGTCTGGGAGTGGATATATATGCATATACCGCAGCCTCCACAAATTCCATATCTGCTTCTTGGCCGTAGTTAGGATCCATAAACTTAGCCACGTGTGACAGGAAATGCAATTCCCCGCTACGTCTCTTGGTTGACAGCGGGTGGCTTAAAATATTGTCCAATCATCTAGAGGCCTCAAGAAAGACATCCCGTAACCGACGCTTTATGTCCGCCTTAAGAGCCCATCTTTGCTCCAAACAATTCATTGTTATGATGAGCATGCTATGGAAGATACAAATCTTCCTCGTCCAGATTACCGAGGAGGCTCGTCTTAAATTGACTTAATTATTTTCATTTGTATATATTTGATAGTGCTGAAATGAGATCGCAGAGGCGGAGGGGCAGGGCCTTCAACAAGTGGAGATTCGACGTAACGATTTGGGCGAATGCAAGCTGATGTGGATCTTCTCCCAACGTCTAGTACGCCTCACGCAGTGACACGGAAGGCCTCTAACTGTTTTTGTTGTTGCTCAGAGCAATTGCACACATCCATGGATCCTTGTGCTTTAGTGCTTTCAATGGCAATGCATAGAGGCAACAGCTAGGAGGGGGAAAAGCGGAGGGAGGGAGAACGGAATGGAGAAATGTGGAGGTTCATTATTAGCTCCACATGTTGTCATCCGTGAATGCAAGAAGGGATCGGACGGTTCAGCTTGGTGCTTCCCGCAGCAGTCGTGATATCGGCTTGATGACATGCTTCTAACCTGTCAGTTGAAATGATGGGCTATTTGAAGAATGCCAACTGTTTTCCCTGGTTCCCCTGTGGATGACGCTGACAGGCCGCCTACTACTCTGTCTACATTTGCTTTCCAGAAGTAAATTTGCCTATGATATGTTATCAGTTGCCATAAACGATCTGGGATCACATTGCTTTATTGTATCCACTGCATCAAACTGACTTTTCAATGCCTCTACAGTCCCCAAAAATAAAGACTTACATTGCGAGAGAAAGTATTTCACCGTTTATACGGTCTTATCCTCCTTGTGGATACGCTAGGGGCGGTTAGAGGCGATCGTCTAAAGGGAGATATAGTATCTGATGAATCTAGCCTTCGCGACACGAAACTGCGACGCGGATCCCTGATATCTCTTCTAGCGACGAAGATACTAGAAAGAAAGTGAATACTACAGCGGAGGCGATAGTTACTAGATAAAATAATTCAGGAGATCAAAACAGATGTCAAGAATGACTTTGACAAGGGCTGGCCCCAGGTATATATATGCATGCAGTTTCGTCGGCAGATATGACATTTGACGCTCGCAGACGCCGGCGCCGCTGCTGTGGCTCGTGTTGGTATACAGGACTTCGAGATTCGCAAGCTATCTGGAGTCATTATCTCTGAGCGATCCTGTCGATGCTATAATAGGTGAGTTCGACCCGAATGCATGAAAGGGATAATTAATCGACAACCAAACCGAACTCAGAACAGAACAAGAACTTAACTTTATATCAAAAATACCTCATTTTCAACAACCAGTGAAGAACCAACCCCCCGACAAACAAACCGTACCAAAATTTGCATCCGCAGCAGGCAGCCCAGTTCCAATCCCAGTTCCAGTTCCAATCCCACGACAACAACGCTATTAGCCCTTCTCTTCACCGGCATCTACACCCCTATAAAGCCGCCCATCGGCCCATTCGGCCCACACCCACACCCACACCCACACCCACACCCATCTATGCCGATGCCGATGCCGATGCTGATCTTCATTCCCCATCCCCAACCCAATTAATTCCCCACAATAGCAGTGGCAACAGCGCTGCGACAGTATTCCAAGAAAGCAACACCATCCACGAAAGTAACAACCAACAGCAACAGGCCTCATAAGTCGCCCTCGAACTCTCCCGCGCGCGAAGGGGAAGAGACGCAAGTGGCGAGGGCCACCGAGCCAGCAGTAGATTTCTTCCCACGTCATTGAAGCGGAAACGGTTGGTATGAAGAAGATGGTGGCGATTCCACTTACGAACCTTAGAGCCAATTTTAAGCATGTTTTTTTTTTTTTGTGTGTTTTTAATCCAAGGGCCTAGGGTTATGGATATGGATGGTAATTATGCATGGAGTACGAATTTCCTTTTCTGAGCTGAGGGCTTGAGACCTCTGCGCCTCTATTTTAATTTTAATTTTTTTCCTTTCTCGTGAATGCCAGGGCTAAGTTAGTTAACGACACACTATTTATAAATGTATTTAATAAATGACGAGTTTTCAACTTTCAAAAGGCTATGTAGCTGCCTCACTATACTCACCCAAAGTTTCTCACCATCAGATATCTCGAGAAGGGATTTCAAGAAGAAATCTTTAAAAAACTCTTTCCACTCTGCTGAAATCCCAGCCGGAATGTGTCAATCTCTGCATGAAGAAACCCCGAGGGAATTGTACGTGTTCACAGATTTACATCGGTCAGACAAACTCGGAAACGTTTTCAAAAATAAACGAAAAATAAATTTTACATATTCAAATAATATATCTCTTTTAAATTATTTTTTAAGCGATGCTTTTCAACTCGGTATTTCCCCCGCCCTTGGTGAATCCCCGGGAACTGTATGGAGGGAGTGAGGGCCTTCAAATAAGCAGAGAGCATAAGAAACAGTTTTAATTTTTTAAAAGGGAGCAAATATTCCAAAAAAAAAAAAATTTCGTAGAGGAAAACCAAAAAAACAAGGGAGGATGAAGGATGGTTCAGGTTCGGGTTGCCTTGGTTCTTTTCTTCCAACTTCGTTAGGTAGGAGAGAGGAGAGAGCGTTAAGTAGGTTAGTAGGGAGGCATCAATTCAATTCAATTCAATCAAATACGTCAAAACCAGTTCAACCCAAGTCCCAAGTCGGAATCAAAAAGGGAGAAAATGGACAAGAGTTAGTTATGATAAAAAAAATAGCGACGACAATAGAGAGAGAACGAGGAAAAGAGGTATCAACCCAATTCACACAAAAGAACGCCGAATAACTTTTGGTAGGTGTAACAAGCGACGAGAAAACAAAAAGAGACATAAAAATAGTTAAAAGGACTTGGACAGCGCTCTCCCTCCCATCCAGGGTATATATGGTTTAAAATAGGCACAGTGGTTAAGGGAGAAAAAAGGATGAATGCAAGACACGAAGACAAGAATAGGTAAAAAAAAAAGGGAAAATAAAAAAGAAAAGGAATCGAAAACAAGGGATAGGACAATGACGAGAAAACGAAGCCGTTATAATAAGCTTTTTAACTCATTTGGTATCATAAACGATTGCAGGAGACAGGTATGTTGAGAGGGGTATATTGCAAAGTTGACTTTGAATGTATAGTAGGCTGATGTAAGGAACGGCGGTGAATGAAATGTGTACGATATCGAATATAAATGGTGTGTGGAGTTTTCGCTTTACTTGTTCAGGTGGTGCTTATCGAGTTCCGGCTCCGACGTCAACGTGGTGGCCCAATGGGGGCCGGGTATCCAGAGGTAGAATTGGAGGTACTAGGACGGCCACTGTCAAACGAAGCGCGGAGGTCATGTTTAGGCGTCATGTCTCTGGGTGTAGAACCGAAGGGAAATTTGTTGTCGAAACGCGAGGCCCAGCCATTGGTGTTGAGGACGTCCTCTTCGGGTAGGTTCACGCCGGAATCATTCCATGGGTTACGATAGCCGCTGTCACGGGATTCCATGGAGACCAGGGAGGCTTTAGACGCGTTGCTCGAGGCATGCTTGAAGAAAGAGCCGGGAGATCCGGATTGGTTTTTGCGTCCGATGAAGGAAGAGAAGGAGGAGATGCTGCCTGGTTTGCGGAGACGTTCGAAAATAGAGCCACGGTCGCTTGTGTCATCTGAGAAATTGTGGCGAGTTGGGGAGTCAGTTACGATTGGTGCTGGGGCGTGTTGGAGCAATTTAGAATCGAAAAAGGGCAATGACTCTTCGAACGAGTCTGATTTTGGGCGGGGGATGGCTCCCTTGACGGTAGTGGCGTCGAGGCCATGCGACACTAGCCGCGAAATGAGGAAATCAATCGCATCCTTGAGTCCACCAGCGTTGTTTCGTGTGTACCCGAGGATAATTCGGTCCTCTGGGGGAGGCTCGTTCTCGGAGGAGACAGGGGTTTCTGCACTCATGTCGGCAACTGCATCGACTTCGTATTGTTCCTTGAGTTTAGCCCGAAGGTCGTTGCAGAACTCGGGAGACTTGAAGAAGTCGCGAAGATCTGCGGAACTCTGAAATGAAAGCTCGTGGCTCTCAGGAACCATACGCTACAGACAAATTAGACTCAGCAGTCTGGTCAAACACCAAAAAACATGGAATCACGTCAGACTTACCAAGAATGAATCAACCGCCTGAGGAACTTGATATTCGGGTCCGGAGATGGTAACAAAATCACTAGCCAGTTCAGTGCTTGGGAAGTCAATTTTGCAATTCCATTTCTTCTCAAGTTCTTCAATCTCAGACATGCGGGCAAGGAGTTCACGATGGTATAGACGGTTGATGACGACAGTTTCAGAAACAAATTCCGCATCCTGGAAAGATTTGTTAGCGGGATACCAAAAACAACGGTACAAATATGAAATATCTCTCGAACTTACGACTTTCTCCACCATATCCATGATCTCCTGCTTTACCAGTTCAAGATTCTGAGCATTCCGAGCAGGAGTACGACAGATGACATTGTCAACTTTAACGTCATCGTCATCCTTGCCAACTCCTCCGCGGTCCATTGCGTTTGAAAACTTGACGAAGACGGAATATTTCTTCATGATGCGTTGGATATGTTGCCCACCAATACCGATGATTCGCTTGTGGTACTGGTCAGGAACATGGAATGATATGGACGCAGGCATTTCTTGTTCGACCAGGTCGAGCCCGTTCCTAGTTGCATCATACTGTGTTCCGCAAACATCGATGTAGAAATTATACTCATTGAAGCCATCGAAAATGATTTGGACATTGCCTATCATACACTATGTAAGCATTCCTGCTCTCGTAGGAAGCACAACAAAGGAAAGCCTGGGAAACTCACTTTGACCCATGATCTTATTGATCTTGCCATTCTTCTTGCCACTCACAAATTCCTTATGCTCGTTCGCCAGCTCTATCTTAACACGCATCTGATAAGGTGTACGTTTCACGAAAGGAATCTGCTGAATCACCATCATAGCCGCTTTGACAGAATCATCGGAGCCATTAATGGTGAAAGTCAGCTTGTCGAAGCTGACTTCAGCGCCCGAGTTGGTGCAGATATCGGAAAGCATCGTTCTAACATCAGCTGGGGACGGGCCACGCATGGAACCCGCTTGGGTAGGGTCGGGCAGTATGAGCCACCAGGAAGCGCTGTAGAATTGGCCAGCCTAAGAGGGAAATGGTCAGCATACGTGATTACTGCACTCATACTTGCAGGAAGAGTGAAGCATACCAATGCCATGATCTCCCTCACGGTTCGTTCAATATGAAGAACTTCCGTTCCTTGAACACGAACCATACCATGCTGACTGCCCAATGATGGGAAAAGGACATACGTGCCATTAGCTTCCATGACTTTGCGAACCTTGTCCAGACGATCCAGAAGAATATTATCGATTTTACTCGAGGACAGTTTAACGTTCTTCATAAAAATCTTCACTCCCGTGACCAGGTCGTGCAATTTTTTCTTAGCCTGACCAATTTGTTCTTGAGATTCGCCAGTAATATAAACCTCGTCTTCGCTTCTGCGGTTACCACCGGGAGGTGTATAGCCAAAAACTCGCGGGAATGGCGGTGGAAAATATATGGCCGTATTCGTTTGCGCCTCGATGAGCTTGATATTCTTGCGGGTACGGCCACAAACGAGGGTATGCATGGATAGCTCAAGCTTCATAGCGTCTACTCGGCGTTTTAACTGCGATATAGCATTAGTAATGGAAAAGCGAAAACGTTGCACTCCAATATGCCTACTATTTGGTCAATCATGATCAAAACTCTAGTTTTGGCATGTTCTGTACTCTCAACATCGCTATAGATTGCAACGCGGAACCGGTGATCCAGCCCGCTTTCAGTGGAGTGTCCGTATGAAGACACAACAGCGCTGTCGGCATCGATAATTTTAGGGCTCAAAAGAAAAATATCTGCTCCGGTATATCTAGCCAAAGTGTCGAGGTGTTCGAGTACACTCGATCGGATTCCGTTTGTATTCGAATCCATAACTAGGTTGACATCTATATCCACGGTCGCGCACGTCTTCAATCGCAGTCAGTAACTACTGGGTTTCTACACAAGGACGGAGATGATGACGGGATTGAAAATTTGATTTCAAGAAGGGTTCTCTATGAATATTAAATTTGCTGGACACGTACCAGAGCGATTGGAGTCTCCTTCAAAATGTTCTGCCGTACTTGTTGAACAGTCTCGCCGTCACCGGAAATGCATACATTGGTAACCAGTCCCTGCGGACGACGTTGTAACGATGCGACAGCCTTGGGCTCTGAAGATGTGACGGTGGCTTCAATTCTGCCATGACTGGAGTCGCTGACACTGCGACATAGCTTTCTCAAAGCATCCAGATTGCTCACGTGGACCGGAAGTTTGTGGATCGGCGTGCCTTCGGGGGTTTCTTCAGGAAAAGTCCACCGCTGGAAAGCACCCGGACTTGAGTGTAGGATATCTTCAGGATTTGGGCCAGCTAGGGTCGAGGAGAAAGGGACGTTGAAGGAGAGGGTGACGGTGGTATCGACACCCGGCGGCACTGTGACTGGAGGAGGGCCATGGGGCCGTCGAAGAGCCTGGTTGGACATGTCCTGATGGGGACGGGACATGCCAAAGGCTGGAGTCATCCTCTCCCATCCATGACGAGCTTGACCGGTGAAATTGGTGATCTTGTGCATGGCGATCGTATGGTCAGATCTGTCCCCTCAGACGAATCCTGAGGGAAAACAGATGGCGGACAGAACAGAGATGTAAAAAGAAAAGGGTTGGGCGAGTAGAAGAGAAGTCGTAATCGATGAACGAGAAGAGAATTTATCTTTGCTGAACCCTGGAGTTAATGTCGGGAGAGGTTGGGAGGATGGCAAGGGTACAAATAAAATCGGATGGACTCACGATGGGACGAGGACAGTGGAAAAGGAAGTGGGAGAGAAAGAGCATCCACTGTTGTCAGTGCAACTACACTCGAAGTTGGCGGTGGAGACAGAGACAGCCAGCTGTGTGTCTGGGTATCCGGTGTTTCGGGCTAGGGTGGGTTTTGACTTGAGCCTGTGCGAGAAGTGTGCGAGACGAGGGGCTAGGCTCAAGGGGGGACGACAATTGCCAATTATGAGAGGCTGTCAGCAGTGCTTGAGAAGTGGTCCTTTTTCTTGAGTGTGTGAGTGTGTGTGTGTAGGTTTGTGAGTGTGGGTGTGGGTGTGTGTGTGTGTGTATGTGTGTGTGGGTGTGGGTGTGTGTGTGTATGTGTGGGTGTGTGTGTGTATGTGTGTGTGTATGTGTGTGTGTGTGTGTG